AACTTAGACCTTGTTTCAAAACTTTAAAAAGGGCTGTGAAGGTCCTGCACTGAATCCCCAGCAAGGAGGCGGGGTGACTGGGGGTGGGGAGGAGAGATCTTACTAACATGCCTGAATGTTTATGTGCAAAAATTTACAAATGTTTCAGTGCACAGAAAATCATAATGAAAAGCCTTACCTCCTTTCCCTCACTTCTTGAGGACTGAAGAAAACAAGAGTAGTAAGAAAAGATTTCAGCTCCAAAGAGTAGTTTTAGCTTTTTCTTGAGAGCTGAGAATCACAGCTGCCTTGAGCATTTTCTTGGAGACTTGTGGCTGCGTATTCACTTTGGTTTTTCTCTCAGGGGAGTGGAGTGAGGCTGGTGGCCGGGTCTGCTGAGTCCGCAGCACTCAGACTACGTGCACCTCTGCAGCAGGTGCAGGCCCAGTTGTCACCCCTCCAGAACATCTCCCTGTGGATTCTGATGGCATTGACTCTTCAGACTCTGAGGTAGGGATCATTCTGGTTTAATGAAGCACCATATAAAACTTTTTTTTTTCAACATATAAAACTTGTTTGTTCCATTTATTTGGTATCTGACATGATTAGACAGAAGACAAACAGCTAGCTTTTTAAATGGGGTTAGAGGTTAACATCAACCTCTTTGAACTTTCTTGTTAATTTACTATGAGGAATGAAGTACGGATAAATGGGTTTGGTGAGCCTCAGGATTATCTTACTACATAATAACTAATTTGCATTATGAATCTATTTCTAAGAGTTTCTCAGTCAACTTTCATATGCATTCTAATAGTTGTACTGTTTCATTTTTGCCTCTTGCAGTCTGATATCTTGTTGGGCATTTTGGACAACTTGGACCCAGTCATGTTCTTCAAATGTCCTTCCCCAGAGTCTACCAGGCTGGAAGAACTCCCAGAAGCCTATCCAGGAGAACCTAGTTCCTTACCAGCCTCCCTTTCTCTTTCAATGGGGACGTCATCAGCCAAGCTGGAAGCCATTAATGAACTAATTCGATTTGACCATGTATATACTAAGCCTCTAGTCTTAGAGATACCCTCTGAGACAGGGAGCCAACCTAATGTGGTAGTAAAAATTGAGGAAGCACCCCTCACCCCCTCAGAGAATGATCACCCTGAATTCATTGTTTCGGTGAAGGAAGAACCTATAGAAGATGACTTCATCCCAGAGCTGGGTATCTCAAACCCGCTTTCATCCAGCCACTGCCTGAAGCCATCTTCCTGCCTGCTGGATGCATATAGTGACTGCGGATATGAGGGCTCTCTTTCCCCCTTCAGTGACATGTCCTCTCCACTTAGTATAAATCATTCTTGGGAGGACACTTTTGCCAATGAACTTTTCCCCCAGCTGATTAGTGTCTAAGGAATAATCTAATACAGTTGCTCTTCTTCTTGATTATTACATGCTGGGAGGCTAGCAAAGGCGGCTTTCTGTGCTTTACTCAAAAAAAACCAAAGTAGAGGGTGTACATTTCTAAAGTGTTCCTCTAAAGTATTGGCTCAAACCTCACAGTTGACTTCAAGTATTGTCTTTTGAAGTCTAGCGTCCAAGGGACCTAGATATATTACAGTAACTCAGAACTATAGCTTATGAGACTATACTTCTGAGAGGTGGTAGTTTTTTCTGACAGAATGTGTATAAGCTCATCTGACATGTCAGAAAGTAATCATGGAATTTATGAATAGCCCTTTATTTCCCTTTCTTCTTAGCATCCCCAGGCTTGTCTCTGATTTTAGGTCCTTTAGTTTGCTTCTGCAAACAAACCATCGGAGGGGGCACATTTTCCATCTACATTTCAAGTAAGGATTAAAAGTTTTTCATAAAGTTATGGAAATTTACTATGTAAACGCTTGATAGAATTCTTTTTCTGCTAGTGAATCTTCTGAGAGGTGCTTTCTCCATTTATTTAAAACTACCCATGCAATTAAAAAAGTGCAATGCATTGTCCTTGTTGTTTTGACTTACAGGGCTGTAAGTTTCTCACAGATGTTTTATCATTTGCTGTGGTAATTTATCCAACTAAAGTGAGCATGGCACTTTAAAAGTAACTAAGGGTTTTTCCATCTTAATTACTGCCTGTATCAATTCCTGGCTGCCACAGTGCTATAAGCCACAATTTGAGCAATTACAGTGGTTTCTTTATCCTAATTAACCAGTATCACAGTAAGTGGAACTAGAGCCCTAGCCACTGTTTTTGTTGAATCTTTCCTGGTGACCTGAGGATTGAACATAGGCTCTACTGAAGAGCTCCATGCCCCCAGCCTTTTTAAAAGCTAGGCTGGCTTACAACTTGATTTTCCTGCTTCAGCCTAGGAAGCAGTTACAAGGAGTCTTACCCTTACTATACAAATTAGGAAATTTTCTAGATTCAAACTTTGTGGTTTCAACTCTGCCACTGGTAAGCTAGGTAATCCTGGGAGATGAGTCACTTATTTCAACTGTAAAGAGGAATAACAGTATCTCCGAAGGTTGTGAAGAACTGAAGAGATGGTGCTTTATAAGTACTTCATATACCTGGTGTGGTGTACCCCTGTAATCCCCAACACTTGGGAGGCTGAGGCTGAAGGACTGCCAGAGTTTGAGACCAGCAGACACCATCTTAAACCCCTCAAAGTCAAGCTTTAATCTCTTACAGAATAGTTTCTATGTTTTTTTATATCAATGTTTCTATTTTTTTGGTACTGGAGATCAAATTCATGACCTTGTGCTGCTGAGCTAAATCCCTAACCCCATAGTTTTTCCTAAACAATCTATTTAGGAAAAAATTCTAGACCTATTAACACTCAAACTATAGCAACTTGATAACATACTTCGTCTTGCATTTTTTTGGAATCTCACAAAATAGTAAAGGACTTTCCCATTTATAGAAATTTATTTTACTTATGCTAGGAGATGAGATCATTCTATGCCCATTTAGCATTTAAATAACACACTTCTGTAGAGGTCAAAGTGGATGAATACACAAGAGGAAGAGGCAATTCCAAGCAGTGAGGCCAAGCGGGCCATAGATGCAAAAAAGTATAGGGGAACATGTTGGTTATGTGTGGTACTTAAAATTTTTTCCACAAGCATACTTGCAAGCAACTTGGGCTAAGAGCTTGTTACAAAAGCTAAAGACCAATCTTTTTTTTTTTTTTTTGTCTTTTTTATTTTTATCGGTACTGGGGATGGAACTCATGACCGCCTGCTTGCAAGGCAGGTGCTTATGCCACTGAGCTAAACCCCTAGCCCCCTAAAAGCCCAATCTTAAGAGCTCAGCTATACAAGCTTTCTTGGGCTGAGTTTCTGTATTGTGTGTATCAGGACTGCATCTAGTCCTCGTGATTGAAAACTACTTTGTCAGATTCACTGAAAACTTCAGAGCCAGAAGTCTATTTAGGGATTATATAGACAGATGTATTTAGAGATGCATTTTTTGTCTACTGTGATAGCATAAGCATCTGGAGATTGAGGTTTAAGTCATTTACATTCAATGATCAATGATGTCACATGAAAGAGGCAGCTGTATCTACAGGACAGAATATATATAACAGACCAGGGTTTTCATTTCCTGCACAGATGGCTGAAAATTGGTAATCACTTGTGTTCAGCCTTAACAAGACACCTGGTATCCAAGGACATTTTCATACTGAAACACCAAACTGGTTAGATCTAGAGGTATTTCCACAAAACCAAAGCAAACACCATCAAAGGACTGTCAATCTGCCCCCTTGCTTTTGTACTAGATGTGCTCCTGGGGCAGAGACAGCAGGAAAATAACTGTAGGCAGAAGGTAATACTACTATAGGTATCACTTACCCTTAAGACTTCATCAAGAGATAGGAAGACTGGCTTACCTACCAAACAGATCGTCAAATTCAATCTTTTTTTTTTTTTTTTTTCAAAGGGGGCCCACTACTAGGGATTGGCTTTTGCACTTAACTCTATATCATGTCTTTAATGCAGATGTTACTAAGTTGTCCAAAATGGGCTAAATTTTGTGATCCTTAGCCTCGCTGGAGCTGGGATTACAGACACATCTACCATGCCTGACCAAACACTGACTTTTATTTCTACAAAATATCATGGGCTAGGTGTGGTGGCACATACCTAAGTTTTTTTTTTTTTTTTTTTTTTTGTCTTTTTATCAGAGATCGAACTCATGACCGCCTGCTTGCAAGGCATATGCCACTAAGCTAAATCCCCAGCCCCACATACCTAAATTAAAGCATCAAGGAGGCTAGGACAGGAGAATCTCAGTTCAAAGTCAGCCTAGGTTATATAATGAGAACATGTTGCAAAAAAACCAAACCAAACCAAACCAAAATGTTACTGGTAGTCTGAACTAGGGAAGGGACAGAGCTAAAATATTTGAATCAAAATGATTCAGAATTGTTTCCTCAAGGAGTTTAATGTTACACAGCCTAAAACACTCGATTACACCTATGAAATCTAAATGACATCATCTGAGGTGCTAAGATTCTGTAAAATCAACTGTTCAAGTGTGAAGAACACTGGCCATGGTAAAATATCGTCTAGTTAGACTTTAATTTTCAAGCCTGTAAACTTAGTAACTTTTAGTTAAATTTTTTTTTCCACATCCACTTTTTCCCCCTACAGATTTTTAAATTTCTGGTTAAAAACAAAATCTTTGTTTTCTGTACCTAAGCCAAAAGGAACAACCTCTACTACTTAACAAAAAATGGCTATAAATGTTGCAAGCAATACTGCCACCTAGTGAGTGACCTATCAACTCGTCATATAAGGAAAAAAAATTATGTAACTGAACATCACAGTATTTTCCTATTCTCCATTTTTAAAGGCCCAAATCATTCTATGTAAACCTTACAACCCATTTTCAATTCCACATTTGAGTATTTTTGAAGATCCCATCATGACTGCCACCTGAATACTGACACCAGTGAAATGCTCTTAATGGAAACCACTCGACATGCTTTAGCAATCTGTTTACCTAAGTGCAGGAATAAAAATACTTCCAAATGTCCAAAACACTTAAATTTTATTGAAAAATGATAAAATACAGAAACACCAGATTCTCATTTTAAAGTAAAATTGACAGCATTTCTCAGAACTTTCCTAGCACTGTACCCATTCTTGTCACTATTACAAAAAAAGTTCCAAATCCAAAATAATGAATGGATCTGCTGGTAAACATTTTTCTCATAGTTCTAAGCCCTACCCTAATTACTTTTTTAAATTTTACATTTGTACCTTTTCAGGGATGGATAGCACTTTAAAAAATGATTACTATTTGCAAGAACTGGACTTACTTTCTTCGTATTAATTAGAAACAACCAAAAAAAAAAAAAATCACACATACCCTACTCAAACTCGGAGAAAATATACATTTGTTCACTAAAACTCAACTTCTTAGGCAATTTTTTCTCTTCACACATTAGTATATTAAGCCAATGTTTGATCCATGCTGCAAAAAAATGTATAAAATGAAAAGACCTATTAATTCTCCAGGGAAACTTTAAGGTAAAAAATAAAAGCGTTATGATAAAAAAGACATTGGAACCGTGGAGATGGCTCAGATGAATAAGCACCACAAGGATGAAGAAAAAAAACCAAACATATGCCAGAAGACAATAGTCCAAAAAGGAGCATTAAACATTTACTTTCCTGCAGAAATAACGATCATATCTGATAACCCCAGAAAAACAAGTGGGGGATTTTAGATTGTAATAAACAGACTCCTAATTCTGTCCTTTATCCACTGTATCACAGTCTAGTTTTAGGGCTTTCTTTTCCCTTTTATGGAACAGGGCTCTGATCAGAGGCCAACCATTTCTACAGAAGATAGGAAGATAAGCTTAGTGTGCTACGGGTCTTTCTTTGGAAAGCTGCCATTTCCTTTTCCTTCGTGACACTGGGACTAAATCCAAACTCTAGGCAGTCCCTCCATGTTTTTGAGTTGTACTAAAACTTTTTAGCACAAAGACTTCTTTAAGGCTACAAACTTTACAAGTTGGTCCCACTAGACAATGACCTCAAGGCAGTTTTTCAAATGGCATGAATAAAACACCTGCACATTTCAACAGAACAGTTTACATTCATCTCTTAAATCTGAGATTAAGAATCTATTAGCTGGTTTCCAACTGGATTCAATACTGGTTTGAAGTTTGAATAATTTTACTGTGTAGACATTAAATAGCTTGTTTAAATATTAAACATTAAATCTTTTCCTGACTATCCAGACAGAATGGAAAAAGCAGAAACAATAGGCAAGAGAAGAAACAGTCCAATTAACAGACTTGTAACTTCCACACCATCTGTAATAAGGAGAGGGATTTCAACATAGGTTTTAAAATTGCCTGGAAGGCTAGCTTCCCAAATACTTACCTCTACTTGGCATAAACCATTTTCCTACACAAGAAACCCAGAAAAAAACTGGGTCTCCTGTTGTACGATGAAAGGGCCAGTATTACAATATTACACTCATTTAATAACATTGTGAATGTTCTGTAGCAATAAAGCAATTGTCACTCCACCTTGTACTATGAGTCTTTGACACATAGAACAGCTCTTCCTGAGAAATTAAAAAATTGTAACCCCAGTTATTTCCAAGACACCTTAAACCTGGTTTAAGTATCCAAAAGATAGCATCTTCCTAGCAAGAAGCTATTCTTTACTAATTTTTAGGCTTACTGAACAGTGTAAGCACCAGACAAATTGGCTATTCCAGTAATCTCAATGTCACTTGCCTTATATGCTCAGTTAATCATTTTCAAAATTAACATTTAAAAATAACTTGCTAACACAGGTACAACCCTTCCTTTTTTATAGATGTTAAAAATGCTGTGTTTTGCTGATACAGCACTTTCTTAGGATTAAAGGATGCTTCTTCCATAGGCAATTTCCAGATGAGTTACCTCAAAATTTTTATACCTGTGCTCAAAGTTAAGCTGTAAACATTACTGAAAAACCAGGCTCATCAATTATGGTAGGGACACCACTGAGCAACAGTAGCACAAGGCAAAAAAGCCTTGAAGAAAAAAACCTTTGTATTTCAGTTGCATTTCTGAGAACAGCCACAATGCTACTGGCTACTTTATCAATATGGCTATTTTGAACTGACAACTAACACAAGTTTCACGGCCTCAGTTAAATTTCTTGGAAAGAGGCTTATGCTACTGCTTTCTTCCCTTCTCCTTCCCAATCATATACAGTCACCACTCGTAAACAGTTTAGTCTTAAGCTGTGACTCACAGGGTACACTGGTAGTTTTATTAAAAGCATCCTTCTTTCTTAATCATCTTTTTCATTTCAAGAGTGTTCTCCAAATTTACGAATGGCTTAAACATGTGACTGATGATTTAAGTCACTCTTACATATGCTGTTTCTATAACCTATAATTCCTTTAAGAAACCTGCTAGAAAACTGCTTTTCCCTTGAGACAAGCTTCCATGGCGAAAAGCTGGCTTCAATACATGGCTACCCAACATGGGAGTCCCACTTCAAATCACAAGTGGATGCACAATGACACCCGCTTCATAAAACTTTCAAATCCCTACACTATGCAAGTAGGCTCATTACTGAACATAAGAGCCTTTTACATTTTGACAAATCTGGTACAGAATCTGATTCTAGAGCTCCATCTCTTCTTCTGTGCTAGCAGTTGTCTCCAAACTACTGTAAAGAGGCATCCCTGTTTGTGGAGGTTCCAAATACAGTTCCGTTCTCTGGGGGAAGGCAGTGCCAGCACCTGCATGCTTAGTTTGGCTCTCTCCCAGGAAGTTTTTAGCATTTGGTGATGGCTTTGGCTTATCAGAAGAAAGGAGTTCAGGGAGAGGTTTCCAGAGCACAAGCTCCATGGAAGGACGGCTCCTATGGTACAAAATACAGATTTTTATCAAGTCATTTAGGGCAGAAAAATAAGAACTATACAGAGTTGGGCATGGTGGCACATTCCTGTAATCCCAGCTCTCGGAAGGCTGAATTGCTTGAAGTCAGCCTGAACTACATAAGGATTGTTCAAGGCCAGCCTACACTACATAATGAGACTATGTCTCAAAACAACCACTATATAGAAAAGTTAATGTTTATTACTTTTTTTTTGTTTGTCTTTTTCATTTTTATCGTTACCAGGGATCGAACTCACAACTGCCTGCTTGCAAGGCAGGCGCTTATGCCGCTGAGCTAAATCCCCAGCCCCAATGCTTATTACTTTGTATCTTAGAACTAAAAACTAATGGCACCGAACAGGAGATTCAGAAAACTCCAAATAGATCTTTTTCATTTTTGCAATACCAGATACTGCACTAAACCTACAACATTTGCAATGAATTATATCCCTAACCTTTTTTAATTTTGAGACAGGGTCTTAGAAAGTTATTAAGTTTCCAGCTTGGGTTACAACTTTTGCTTCTCCTGTCTTGTCTTTCTGAAGTGCAGGAATCATAAGCATGTGTCACCACTTTAGGCTCTAAATTCATCTTTAAAATGGCCACTCAGGCTACTTATGCTATTGCATACCTGTAATGCCAGCACTCAGGACCGATGCAAGAAGACTGCTATGAGTTTGAAGCCCGCCTAGTGTACACAGTAAGTTCAAGGCAATGGAAGGATGATTTGAGCTATACAGCCTGACTCTGTCTCAAAAGAATAAAACAATGGGCTAGGGATTTAGCTCAGTGGCACAGCGCTTGCCTGGCAGGTATGAGTCCTGAGTTAGATTTCTGGTACCCAAACAACAAACAAATCACTCAAATATATAAAATTTATTTCACAGTTCTATACCCCACCCCGCCTACAGTGTTAAGGATTGAATGTAGGACATTATTACGCATGCTGTAAGTGTTCTGCCACTTGTACTGATAGTCTGATCAGAAGTAAAACCCCACATGGAAAACAAAAAAAGACAACTTAATTTTGTAACTTTTTAAATTAGCACATGTTATTTTTCCCTTTTGTTGTGCTGGTCGTTGAACCCAAGGCTTCACACATGGTAGAAAAACACACAACCATCGAGCTATGTCCCTAACTCTCCTCAGCCCCGTGGCCGACTTATAATAAATCATTATAGATTAAAATGAAACAAAACACATAAAAATATCCCAGATGTCTTTTGTTTAATAGGAATATAATGCTTAATACACATTTAATCATATACTATCCCTACTCCACAGTAGTAAGTTTCTGAAATCTAAAGGCAAGTAAAGCAAAAATAAAATATAATAAAGAATTCTCTCAAAGGTCAGGGTCTGGAAAATTACCAAGAGTAGCAAATATTATGTTTTAAAAGCTTGAGGTCAATGTGACCCAGTAACTTTGCTTATGCTATTTATCCACCTTAGGGCTGGGTAGTTAATTATAAATTCAAGGTAGAGTACTACTGTAAACTTCCATGATCTAGCACCAAGAAACAGCTGAAAATCTAGCACAAATCACTTTCACTGTACCTGAAGGTAATAATGCCCCATCTCCCTGTCATCACTGGAATGGTGTCCTAAAAGAGACTTTCAGATATCTGAAACTTATTCTCATTGAGTACCAAGACTATTCAAATTCTTTTCCAGGCAACACTTAAATGGCATTATAGCACTATCTACTATTTTATGCAGCAGACAATGACAACTTGAGATCTTCTAGGCTCAGAGACTATAGGACTAGAGTTAATCATTAGTTCTTTTATTTATTTGGTACAGGGGATTGAATTCACGACCTTGCACTTGCCTGGCAGGCACTTGTGCCCACTGGAATAAATCCCCAGCTCAAGTTCTTATTTATGGGCCCTAGACCCCTTTGTTTTTTAAGTTCTTTGTATTTACGTCCCAGTTTTCTCCCTAACTTTCTCACTGCAGTCACTATTCCTTACCAGGAGTTTGTCTTCCTTTCATGTGGTGTTTTTATTCTACTCTGACAATCCAGGAAACCAGACAACCGAGCTCATTAAACTATGTTTTAAATTAAAAACAAAGAGTTCTGCTAAAGCTTCTGAGCTGCTATGCTATGAGCCAAGAATATGAGTTTTGGTTTTTGGCTCTTATTATAACTATTGTTGGGACATTTATTTTGTTTCCTAGGTCCTTTTCTTTTTCTTTTTGCTTTTTTTTTGAGACAGGCTCTCACTATGCAATTCAGGCTGCCTTGAACTCCCAATGATCCTTCTGCCTCAGCCTTCCAAGTGCTGGGATAACAAGCATGCACTAAACTTACCTGGCTATTTCCTAGGTCTTAATGGTGCTTCTGGATATTACAGAGAACCAAATAAACTAAAGGTTTTAAAATGTGGTTCCAGATGAGAGTGGTGGTACATGCCTCAAAAAAGATGTGGTTCTTCTACTTTACCAAGAGATCCACTTGCCAGTCCTCTTTTTCCTAAATAGTAATCTGGAGTACATTTTAGACCCTTAAAAGAACCACAGAATAAGTAGGCAAGGCTGTCACCCTGTATACTAAAAACTGCTGTTCACATAGCATTTTGCTCACCCTCCATTAACTAAGAAGAAGCCTACCTCAACTGGGCTAAATACAAGCTTTCCACTTGCCTGGTGATAAGGAGCTGAAGAGCTGACCAAGACAGGATGGTCAATGGTTAAGAGTTACTGGAGTTTCCTTTTAACATAATTGAATGAAAAGATGTTATCAAACTTACATAGACTCAATCATCTTCTTTGTAAAGACTTCATCAAACTCCTGCTTTAAACCTGTTTTCATGGTATCAGAAAGGACAAGACTGGGCAGATGGTTAATGTTTCTGTCAGCTTCAACTTCTTCATCTTCATCAATAATCCTAAAGGCAGCAGATTCAAAGAAAAAAAAAATTCAGTCAAACAATCATGTATTTCTCTAGTAAATGAACATAACTGTAAAACAGGTGCTTAATACCAAAACATCAAAAGCAGCTATACCTCACAGAAAAATAATCAAATGAGCTCTTTTGTTGTTCAGTATTTCATTTAACCAACAAGTTTTTGTGCTGGGCATTACTGTGCATGCCTAGTATCCCAGCATTCAGGGAGCTGAGTCAGAGAGTTGCTAAAAGTTCGAGGCCAGTTTGGACTAGTGAGTTTAAGACCATCTTGCACTACAAAGTAAAAGCCTGTCTCAAAAAAGCCAAATAAATAAATAAATACAAACACCCCCCCCAACAAAAAAACATTGCACAAACAGTTTTAAAGCCAAATGTGGAGGCACATGTCTCTAATTCCACCACTGTGGAAAGCTGAGATAGAAAAGTTAAAAGTACAAAACCTACCTGTACAACTTTGTGAGACCCTATCCTAAAATTAAAATGTGCTTGAGATGTAGCTCAGTTCAAAAGCTCTGTGTTGTCTCCACTATGAAACCCAAAACAAAACCAACCAAAACAATGGAATCAAATTTGAAAATGATCTCATAACTAAAATAATTATTCAGTACTAAATGAGAGCGTTTAGTTGGCTCTATGAGAATTCACTTTACAGAGAAACAGCAAGCATTTACCTGTAACCCCAGCCCTCAAAGCTGAAACTGGAGGATCACTGCAAGTTCAAGATCTGGCTGCTGGAATTGCTGGGATTGAGCTCAATGGCATAAGTGCCTGCCCCAGCACCAAAAAACAAACAAACAAACAAACAAAAAAAACTGCACAGCGAAATTCTGTCTCAAAAAGACAAAGACAAACAGCAGCAAGCCAAATACACATGCTGTCTACCTACCTGTCCTCAATCTCCTGGAGCCTCCTTCGGGCAACTTCACACTGTGGTTCTCCAGTTGTCTGATCCATCTCTTCACAAACAGCATCTAACATGCCGGGTACAGAAAGCCCACCAGTGCATGGGTTTACTCTACGACCTTCTATATCCTCATGTGTACAAAGAATCCAGTCATTAGGACCAATACAGAGCTCTGCTTCAGTCAGTCTTTTCTTTCTTACTGGACAACTGGAAAAAAGCAGGAAAGAAGGAAATTCAATAAAAGCATCAATTAACACCAAATCAAACATTTATCACCTTTATTTCCAATCAAATTCTCTTTTGTTTTTAAAGACAGGGTCTTGCTGTATAGTCTAGGCTGGCCCTAAACTTACTATGCAGCCCAGGTTGGCCTCAAATTTGCAGTAATTCTCCTGCCTCAGCCTCCCAATTGCCAGGATTACCAGTGTGTCCTTGTACCTGACTTTCTAATCAAATTCTTATGTTTGGTGCCTCACATTTGTAATCCCAGCTTGTTGGGAGGCTGAGGCACAAGGATCATGAGTTTAAGACCAGCCTAGGGAACTTAGCAAGATCTGGCCTCAAAAAAACATTTTTTTTTTTTTAAAAAAGGGTTTGGGGAAAAGAGTTCAGTGGGAGAACATTTGCTCAGGATGTGTGCAGCCCTGGGTCCAACACAAAACAAAGCGAAACACCACCCTGGAATTTTAGCTTTAAAAAAAAAAAGTGTATTTAAATGAGTAAAAGTGAAGAGTGAAGGAAAAACTGGCTCTGTAGACTGAGCTTCAGCTGAGCAGAAGAGAAAAATGCAAGATAAAAGTATACCCTGGTCAACAGGCATGGTGACACGGGCCTGTAATCCCAGCACTCAGAAGGGTGAGGCAGGATTGTTGCAAACTCAAGGCCAGCCTGGACTACAAAGTAAGCTCAAGGCCAGCCTGAACTGCATAGTGAGAAGCTGTCTAAAAAAAAAGTACATCCTGGAGGACACAGGTGGGACACCCTGAGGCTATCATGAGGAAAGACAGAATAGCCTACCTGAGCTTTTTTGTGTGTAAAATAATGTAATATCATGCATTCTCACAGACCCCCTGAGATGTTTTCTTTTACTGCTCTTTATCAACCTGGGCAGTACTTACAAGATTTTACCCTTTTATTCACATGTGGTGGCACACACCTGTAATCTTAGCACTTGGGAGGCTGAGGAAGAAAAATCACTGTGAGTTCAAGGCCAGATTGGGCTACATTAGTGGACCTGGTCTCAAAAAAACCAAAAACCAAAACAAAACCAAAAAACACAAAAACAAAAACTGGGCATGATGGCACCCTAACACTAGCACTTGGGAGGATGAGGCAGGGGAATCATTGTGAGTTCAAGACCAGAATGGGCTACAAAGTGAGCTCAAGGCCAGCCTGAACTGCATGGTGAGACCCTGTCTCAAAAAGGCAAAAAAGATTTTACCTTTTAGGATATAAATATTCAAGATGGAACTTAAAGCAAAAATAACAAAGCACTGTCACCCATCTTTTGTCACATTGGTGGTGCTTCCTCACATGCATGGGAATGCGATCTGGCGGCCATCTTTTCTATCCTTAGAGCAAAAATGCACATCAGGTACGTTCCACATACTATAAGCATAGGTGATAAAATGATTTTAACAAGATGCTGTCATTTGGTTTTCTGCCCCTGAACAATAATGGAGTTCACTCTTACTCTGTAACATACTATCTCTATTTCCGGGACAAATGTTTAGAATCCTTAAAATTAACCAAATAGAATTAATCAAATACAATTTCTTCTTTCCTTTAAACTCACAATGTAGCCCAGGCTATCCCTGAACAGGGGTTCCTCTAGAGTGCTGGGGTACTTGATGCTGGGCATCCAACTTTTTTGGTAGTGCCATGTGGGAGACCACCATGCTGCTCTGAGAAACATAACCTTTGCCACAACCTGTCACTATTTACTGAGGTAGAGTTGGCTACAGTGAGATAAATGCTTCTGGCAGTAAAAGTACCAGCCTTCCACACATCAAAAACTATCTGTGCATGGCTAATTAGAGGCCTCTTATTGGATATGGCTACAAAGTTTCTTTTCATTCTGTACCTTGCTCCCATACCCATGTACCTCCTTTGGTTTTTTTGAGACCAGGAAACCCAGGAGATGTGGAGAGAAGAGGAGAGGAGACATAGAGTTCATAGAGAACTCTGGGTCATCCCGAAATTCCTCAACTGAAAGATTTTTCTCTTTATCTTTCTTTTGCATCCTTGTGCTATACTGCCAGGTGGGTTAAACTGATATCCACATCAGGGGTTTCAGTAGTGCCAGAGACTGAACATAGGGCCACATGCATATTAGCTAAGTACTCTACCACCAAGCCACACATCGGGCCCCATCAACAATTTCTTTTTTAGATCTGAAAACTGTGATCTCAAAAAGTTAAACTGACTCTCCAAAGTAATACAGTAAAGCACTGAGTAGCATGTTGGGGATTAAATCCTCCTGCCTTTTCATAAACAACTGTTCAAGGGCTTACCATGAACTAGTATCTTCAAGTACTACAACATGCCCAGGGTTTAAGCTGAAAGCTAGGTCAGACAACTTCCCTATTCTTTTTTGTTTTTTATTTTTATTTTTATCAGTACCAGGGATCGAACTCGACCACCTGCTTGCAAGGCAGGTGCTTACGCCGCTCAACTAAATCCCCAGCCCCTGCCCTATTCTTTTTAACTATTTAAAGCAAAAGAACTTCTTTTGCTTGAGTATCAGCAAGTGCAATCTTAAGAGCAGAACACAGTTTTGTAGCCAAAAACAAACCCAGGGTCAGAGGAAAAAGAATGTATTTTACAAGGGGAAACTGTACTACTATTCCAGCATATGGGAAGCTGAGGCAAGAGGATCACCATGAATTTGAGGCTAGCCTGGTCTGTAAAGTAAGACCTTGTCTCATCAAAATACCCCCTGGTTTTTAATACACTTATGCCATCATCTTGCCACTTTTTGAAGCAGTTCTGGAAGTCCTCTCTCATGTCTTTAGTTGCCCTGTGTGGCTCCCACAATATAGTACCTATTTTCAAAATGCTTACCTTTCATGGTCATTTTGACTTTAGGGAGAGACAGAAGCAGCACAGTGCCAGATCTGGTGAATAAAATGAATGAGGAACACATCATAATGCTTTTATAAGCCTATCTTTTCAATGGATGCCATATAAGAACAGTATTTACCATAGTTTTTAATGATACCTCCTAGACAAAAGGGAGAACTGCTTCAGAAAGTGGCTAGGATGATGGGATAGGTATGGTTAAAGTGAGTGAAAGTGGTATTTTGTTGTTTTTTGAGGCAGGGACTCATTATGTAGCTCAAACTGGCCTTGAACTCACTATGTAGTACCAGTCTGGCCTTGAACTTGTGGTGATCCTCCTGCTTTAAACTTCCTACCTGCTGGGATTACAGGTGTGTGCCACCAAACACAGCAAGCAGCAAGGGGATAAATGACAATGTATTTTTACTGTAATTTTTAAAATTCACTGTGTATTTTGATCACCCTTTATCCATATTAAAAAAAAAAAAAAAAAAAAAAAAGCTAAGGAAAGTAGAAAACCCAGGCATGATGGCACAATCTTCACTGAGGTGGGAGGACCCAAAGTTCAAGCCAAGACTGGGCAACTTTGCGAGACCCTGTCTCAAAATAAAACACAAAGGGCTGGAGATGTACCTCAGTGCAAATGCTCTCCAATGAAGCCCCAGTACCACTGAAAAAATAAGTAAATAAATCCATACAGAACAGGTAATCTAGCACATCTAAAAATTCAGCATGAAATTGCAAACATGTTTGAGACAATCAGGCTCTGCTCTGGAATCTCCAGCAACACATGATTCTGGTAATGGCTAAGTTACTGCACATCTGTAGGTTCACTCTGCAAGTAAGAGCTATTCACAAAGGTAGCAGTTGAGTAGTACATATCCAGTCATTAAACATCTGAATACCTAGCTGCACCATTCCTCAGAGCCTCAGTTTCTCCATTCATAAACCAAAAGTGGCTAACATAGACTCAATCCTGGGCCTCAAACATGCTACATAAGTGCTGTACCACTGAGCTCCATCTCTAGCCCTTTTCAAATTTTATTTTGAAGATGGTATGGAGGCACATGCCTGTAATCCAACACTTGGGGAGGCTTAGTTAGAAGGATGTAAGTTTGAGCCTACTTTGGGTAATTTAGTGAGACCCCATCTCAAAAAAAAGAAAGGAAGAAACACAGAAGGGATGGGGATGTTGCCAGTGTGAAGGCCCAGAGTTCAATCCCCAGCACCTAAAACCAAAAAATACAAATAGCTTATATCAAATTATAATGAACCGTGCAAATTGAGTGACTCCATTTCTTTCATTTTTAACTATAAAATTCTATGTGCATAAAAGTATATAAATTCAATGAGTAATTAGAAAACAAATAGGGGCTGGGGATTTAGCTCAGCGGCATAAGTGCCTGCCTTGCAAGCAGGCAGTCGTGAGTTCGATCCCTGGTACCGATAAAAATGAAAAAGACAAAAAAAAAAAAAAGAAAACAAATAGTAAGATACAAAACAATACCACATCCCAAAAGAGTAATCTATTTCCTCCTTTCTAGTAGTGGCAGACATACCAGCATTGATTTTAGGGTAAATACTTTCTTTTAAAAAATAAACTATAGCTGGGTATGGTGGCACACCCCTATAACCCAGCACTCAGGAAGCTGAGGCAGCAGGATCACTGTTTGAGGCCGGCTTGGGCTATAAAGTTTAAGGTCAGCCTGAATTGCACAGTGAGACTGTCTCAAAAAACCAAATTAAATCAAACCATCATGTACATAAGTATAAGCCTTCCTCAACAAAAACGTTTTAGTTTTGCCTGTTTTTGAACTTTATACTTAGTGAGTTATACTAAATACACTTTGAGATATTTCTTTTGCTATTATACTCACAAGATGTATAATATTGGGAAGTAGTGTTCTGATTTTTCCTGCATAGTGATCCATTGTGTATTAATTTACAATTGATTTTATCTATTTCACTGAGTCACTTGTGTTATTTTCAGGTCTGAGCTATCAACAAGGATGTTATAAACATTCTTCTATGTGCTTCCTGATATATCCATATGTGAACTTCTCTAAGGTATATTCAGGAAGGGAACTGTTATGCAGGAATATGCATATATTCAATGTAGAAGTGCCAAACTGTTTTCCAGTGTCACCAATTTACACTCTCATGGTGTATGAGTTTGGGGGGCTATACATCTGCTCCAGTGTCTAATGATAGAGGTTTTTAATACACATTTCCCTAAAAAACCTTAACGCTTCTACTTCTGCTTTTGCCTGTCTACAAGATCCAAAATTTCACCTACCAGTTAACTAGCAATCAGAAAGTTAAAAAATACAGGTCTGACAGAAAATGAAGACACAAAGTCTCAGTGTGAACAAGAATATAGCTGGGCCTCGTGGTGCATGCCTTTAATTCTAGTACTTGGGAGGCTGAGGCAGGAGGATCACTGGCAGTTCAAGAGCAGCCTGGGTTACAAAGTAAGCTCAAGGCCAGCCTGAACTGCACAGAGAGACCCTGTCTCAAAAAGACCCCCCCCACACACACAAAAGACTCAATTTTCCATCAAGGAATCCACTTTTCTATTTGCAAACAAAGAACTTCAAAATAATGGTCATGATAGGCTTGTTCATAAATTAAAGAAGCATACACAATTATAAGGTTATAAGTTTTTACATTATCTCCTACAAAACAGAGAAAGGTAACAGTTGCCTCTGAGGAGTAGCACTGAGAGGTACCTTGTAAGACTTTGCAGCAGGTATCCTCACATTCTTTTACATTGTGTCTGTAATAACATTAACATAGTGTCAAACATTACAACTGATTAAGGAGTAAAGGTTCCCGCTATTAAGTCTTTTTTAAAAATTTATTTTAATGTAATACAAGCAGATATTTAAAAGAATATAAAAACACTTCTTACATTTGTAACAAAATAACAAGAGACAAACAACAAATACTGTGTATCCTGATCTTGTAAAGAATGGCCAAGGTGTTACTTAGCACAAACGATTGAAAAAAAATTCTCATCAACAGAGCCCAAACTTTCTTTTCAATAAACAAAGGAAATCAGTAGTATAAATACTATTGGGTTTTTTTGGTACTAGGGATCCAACTCACAAACTCACCCTTGCCACACAGGCGACTATGCTGCTAAGCTAAACCCCTAGTCTCTAGTAGTATAAACACAACAAATTAGTATTTATCTTAAAATATTTTTGAAACAGAATAATGTGAATTTCTTCCTATTTCCTGTTTATCTATCTTCTATTTTGCTCTCTCCAGATATACATTTAGTTTCTCATTTAAGAGAAACCATGTGACATTTAAGCCTGTGTGTTTACTTAACATTAATTATATTCTCGTTACATTCATTTACCTACTAATGTCTCATATTTGTCTTTATGGCAGAATAGTACTCCACTGTATATAAATATCACATTTTCAGCCTGGGATGGTGACACAGGTAAGGGGGAAGCTGAGTAGCCTGGACTACACAAGACCCTGACTCTAAAAATAAACACATTTTCTTTATCCATTCATCAGCCATGTTCTTTATCTTCATATTACTAGTTTTTTATTCCTGCTTCCTGAAACACACCTGTTTTATAACTTTTCACTTAAAATATTTAAAAACATTGTAAACATGTTACATTAACAGTGTAGCTAAACATGATGGTCCACGCCAGTAATTCCAGTACCCAAGAGGCTGAGACAGAAGGATCCAAGGTTCCCAAAAAGCCTGGGTTATAAAGGACACTGTTTTTGTTTGTTTGTTTTTAAAGGAGACCAACAACAACCAGTGATCATTAAGTGAATGTTCCATGAGACTTACTCATCATCATCCTCTTCTCGCTTGTGTTTCTTTCTACAGTGAACGGAAACACTGTCGAAATAAACAGATATCAATTAAATGTATATGAGTTTTCATCATCTTTTCATGCTAATTTAGGTCACCCACCCAACACCGAATGTCCCCTTCCGGGCCAAATGAGATGGATACAGATCACAAGGTCAGTCAGGTAATGTGGGTAGTCCCGATAAAATCACCGGCACCGAACTCAAAACTTGTCACTCTGCGAACGTAAAGGGAGGAAAACAAGAGAGAAACACCAGGACAAACGCATTAGGCGCGCGCATTGTACGAAGCCCTCTTTCCGTGATCTCATTGCGAAGACCAGTTTCTGTCCCCACATTGCGAGGAGGAAACCGAGGGTCCGAGAGGCGCCCAAAGTTGTCACCAGCAGCGATCGCGCCGCGGTCAGGAAGGTGAGCGCGCGCGAGTGCTCGCGAGGGATCGCTCGGGGTCCGATCGCCCGGGTTTCTAACTGGAAAAGTCTCACCTCCTCGGGGCGCAGCCGGGCCACGAGGGGTTGGACCTGGACTGCCGGGCTGTGAGACCTCGGGCGATTTACAGTTAACGTCTCTGGGGACCAAGGTCCCCATCAGCAAGCCGGGCTCCGAAGCCTCCCGCAGAGTCGCGGGGAGGATCAACGTGCCCGCCTGCCCGCTCCCGCCGCCGGCTTTCTTACCGTCCGCGCGCCGTGCTCCCACCCGGGCTGCTCGGGGTGGCGCGGAGTCCCGGCCGTGGGACCAGCTCTGGGCCGTGGGCTCCCGAAGGAAAGGCCCGGCCCGAGAAGGCCGGAGAAGGCTGGAGGAAGTCCGAGGTGCCGCTCAAGGAGAGACCGCTGAAGGGCCGGCCGAGCGCGGCCATGGCTGCCGACTCGAGCAGACTACGACCGCGACCCCGACCGTCCGCGCCCCCAGGTCCGGCAGCCGCCGCCACAGTGACTGCCAGGAGGCGTCAGCCTCCGAGCCCGCAGCGACCCCGCTGCGACCCCACGTCACGCCTTCTAGAACCCTCCACCCTGAGCCGCCCAAGGGCATGCCGGGATTTGTTGTGTGGCGGGCCGCCGCCGCGAGGGATGCCGGGAGTTGTGGTCCTTACAGACTACAAACAGCATGGGTTCCCCGTGACTGAGCTTGGAGAGTGGCCTAGGGGTGCCTCGATGTGGTTCAAAGGTTCGAGTCCCATTTCTCAAATATTGTAACCTCTGCCCTTAAATTTCTAAACAGGATAATAACTACGTATCTGCATAGGTTTGATGTAAAGAGTAAGTGAATTAAAACATGCCGGACGTGCTGGTGCACTGGTTCGGGAAGAATCTACTCTGTATCTTTGTGATGGCCTGGGGATATAAGCTTGTGCTAAGCGCATGCGCAATGCCTTGAGTTTGATTTCCAGCATCACCAAAAAAGAAAACTTTTAAAAGAGTCCTTGAAATACCCGGAGTTTATACTATTAATGAAGTACGAAGGCTCAGATGGAGGCTGGTATTATGGTTTGGATCTGGTATGTTCCCCAAAAGCACATTTGCCTTTTTATTTTATAAGGCAGGGTCTCACTATGTAACCCAGGCTGGCCTTGAATTGGAGGCTATCCTTTTGCCTCAGTCTTCCGAAGCCTTTCCCTTTGCTGAGTTTTCTGTGTTTTGTTTTGCTGTAATAAGTCGCAGCCATGAGGATTATATTTTGAGTCCTGTGAGTTCTTGTAGGAAATCATCAAATGGGGGGTGATCTTGTGGACATCTGACAGTTTCTCTCTACCTTTTGGATTCCTTTTCAAAATTACTTTTTATGGGGGCTGGGGATTTAGCTCAGCAGCATAAGCGCCTGCCTTGCAAGTGTGTGGTCGTGAGTTCGACCCCCGGTACCGATAAAAAAAGAAAAAGACAAAAAAAAAAAATTACTTATTTTTATATTTTGCTTGTTTGAATTCTATTCGTCTTCTTCACTGATGTCTATCTGGTTTCCATACCTGAGAGTGAGTCCTCCAGAGGCCTAGTGAAGCTGTAGGCACAGGCTTTAGAAAAAGACTCTACTCCTGCCTCTGCACAGCATGGTGTAAGGCCTTGGTAAACAATATCTTTTGGTACAAACTGTTTAACCTGATCAACTGGTACTTGATTGTGATGAATTTAGCTTCCCTAATGGTACCGGATTTGCAGACAGACCTGGGTTTGAGCTTGATCTTCCAGCAGGCTATTTCTTCATCTACAAAGAATCAAACTGAGTTTAACTTGAAAGAATCATACAAAGTACTTATAGTGCATATATAAGCATCCAACACACATGCAGGAAGTAGAAACTTAATGTTTTACTTACTGGTATTCAAGAAGTTCCTCAAATAGAAAGTATCTTACTGTTCTAGATCTCTTTCAAGGCTGACTAATCACTTACATAAAGCAGGTGGTTAGAATTGGGCTTAAAGGACATTTACTCTGCAATAAAAGGCTTGATTCTATTGCTTAGGTAAAAATGATAAGATAGAATTCTAAATGCACCTGAATGGTACAGTGGTGGCCTAGCATAAACAAGGCCCTGGATTCTACCTCCAACGTAAGGTATAATAATGGAAATAATGTGGTAATTATTTATTTTTTGCAATGGTGGGAGTCCTCCCTTCCCCCAGTACTGGACACAGAACCCAAGCATGGCAGGCAATCAAGTAACTCAGCCTTTTATTTTGTGAGACAGGGTTTCACTATGTAGTACAGGCTGGCCTTGAACCTACAATGTAGTCCAGGCTGGATTCTCATCTTGATTCAACTTTGAGTGCTGGGATTACAGATGTGCATCACTATGCCTGATAGTTATTGATTGATCTACTGGTTGATTTGTAGCAATCCTTCTGCCTTGGCCTCCCGAGCCCCTAGATTACAGGTGTGTGCCACCATACCCAGTTTGGATTTTTATTTGAGACAGACTTGCTAAATTGCCCAGGCTGTCCTCAAACTTGCAATCTCCTGCCTCATCCTCCCAGGTAGATGGGACTACAGGTCAAATCACCACACCCAGCTGCTATCATCCTGTTAAAAATAAGCAAAAGAATGGGAGAGCTAGGATTCAAACCTAGGAATATTAGCCTGGGATGACATTTAAAAAAATATACTATATGGCTCAGAATACAGCTCAGTGGAAAAGTGGTTGTTTAACATGCATAAAGCCCCAGGTTTGGTCCTCAGCACTGAGAAAAGGAAAAAATGATAGATGGCTCAAATAACATAAATGTATTTTCTCGTATTTCCAAAGACTGGAGGTCCAAAATGAAGGTGCTATCATGATCAGCTTCAGTTTCTCTTCCCTATTTGCAAAATTATAATTAATTTCTTAGCTGCATTCTCTATGCAGCTGCCCTCGAGATTAGGATTTCAAAATGAATTCTGGAGGGAATCAACATTCAGTCTCCAGTATTAACACTGTCTTGACCCCACAGCCTGGGAAAACTTGTTCACAAATTAGTCAAAATTCTCATTTATTTTGCTATAATATAAATAGATAGATAAATAGAAGAGTGTGTGTGTTAGTTTACTTCACTCTGTCAGAAACTTCATCCAAGTGAGGCTGCCAATTTTTCAGACATCTAGAAACTTAACTTTCTACTGGAGCTTTCATAAGGGACACTTGAAAGCATTCTTGGATTTAGAAATGAAAGTAAACTGGGACTTTAGACAAAAAGGGAAAGAATTTGAAAAAAGAAAAAAAGTAATTCCACTGACTTCAGAAGGCATAACTCAGAAACAGTACTTTTTTGAGACAGGATCTTGGTATGTAGTTCAGACTGGTCTTGAACTTGCTATGTAGCCCAGGGGGTGGTTTTGAACTCCAGGGGATCTTCCTGTCTCAGCCTCCTGAATGCTAGGATTACAGGTGTGGACCACCACGCCTGGCCAACAATGTCTTTTTATTTATCTTCCAAATTGGAAATGGTTTGCTGGGAAGACCAGCAGCCTCTGCAACTAATCGCAACAGGTAAAGGGGACATTTCTTTCAAGTTCCTCCAAAGATATTTAAGGCAGTGTTGACTATAATTCTTTTTGAGGTCAGGTTGTTTTGGTCCTGGTCATTGTTCTGAAGAAGGAATAAAAATTTCTACAGTTTTCCAAAACTTCCTTTTGTCTCCTCTTTTAGAGAAGCACTCAGTATAACTAGGACATTTGCTTGCATTGTGATTAAAGGACTCCGGTAGTGTTTTCAGATCCGTGACCCTTCTCAGTAAATTGTGTGTGTGTGTGTGTGTGTGTGTATGTGTGTAAAGTGATGACTATATGGCATTTCCAAGAACCTTTTGGTCATATAGCTGCTGTGATTAATTTGCCTTCTGAAAATCAGTAAATCCTCAAATGTTAACTGAGTAGTCAGAAAATCCAGATTTTTAAGACAAAGATAAGGAGCTGCAGTTTCAAGCTTCTGGAGTAGTTTGGTTCGGAGCCATGATTTTTTAAGTTATTAACAAGTGATTTTTCTCTAGAAGAAAGGGAGAACCAGCGGCTGCCAAGACCCAGCCATGTTGGGACTTAGGTGGCTGCATAAGAAGGCAATTTTTGCGCCCTCTTGGTAAGTGCCCCTGGCACCAGCCAGGGGGAGAATCAGTTAGCTGTTTGCGTGAGCCTACCAGTATGCAGGCTGAGAATCAAACATCCCTCCCCCACAATCAGCAACTGGGGACAGAGGTCTGAGCATCTCTTGGGAGAATGATCGTATGCAATATAGCAAATATGGGGGATTTCCTTCTATGTTCTGTTTAAAGGGAAAGGTTATTTTCACTGTTATGTTTTGTAATGATTGTTTTGCTCTATTCAATATTCTTCAATTGGTTTTACAATGTTCTGTAACTGGTTTGATTTTGCTACACCGAATTGACTGGACAACTATTGTAAAGGTGACGAGATATACTATTATCCCAGTATCATGCTTTGAAGTTCTGTACCCAATGTCACTAAATTGTCTCATTTGGCTTTGTTCTGTTGTAATTTTACTACATTCAAAATAAAATTTTAAAAAAAGAACATACACTGAATTTCCAAAGATCTAGGAAGGGAAGTAGAGCTGCTTTGGGTTGAACTAGAAGAGCACAAAAATTGTGACAAGAATGTCATCTGCCTGTGAACCAAACTTCTCCATTCCACCAGAGGAAGAGCAGAAATATGGTTAATACTAGACTGATTTTTTGAGTGGGAAGAATGTTTTGAGACAGGGCCTTGCTATGTAGTTTGGGCTGGCCTTGAATTCACTATGTAGCCTTGAGTTTGCTGCAGTCCTCCTGCCTCAGCCTCCTAAAGAGTTGGGATTATGGGCATATACCACCATGCCGAGCCAAACTAATTCTTGGTAATATTTTCTATAGGCCTAATCCTAAACCTCTTTGCTTGGCTAAACTAACAAAGGAAGCTATCTATTTTAGTGAAGATCATGCTATCAGAAAGTTGTGGCTCTTGGGCAGAGGTTGGCAAACCCATGGCCAAATTAGGCCCATTGCCTCTTTTATAAATGAACTTCAGTCTCTCTCATATATATAAAATGTAATTGAAACAGCCCCTTCATTTAAGATAGTTTATTAGGGGCTAGGGATTTAGCTCAGTGGCATAAGTACCTGCCTTGCAAGCACGTGGTCGTGAATTCGATCCCTGGTACTGATTTAAAAAAAAAAAAAGAGATAGTTTATGGTGGTGGCTTTTATGCTGCATGACAAATTGAGCAGTTACAACAGATGTCAAATAGCCCGCAAAGGGCTATTTAAGTAAAATATTCACTATATGGTCCTTTATATGTTTTTGAATTTCTCATCTTGTGGCCTTGATGGGGTTACGTTTTATCAGTGTGAGATGATATCAGATGAAGAACTGACCACTCTATGAGTTCACTGCATTTTTCTGGCATGACAAATTTTGCCATCCATTAATGCTTCAGCCACAGATTAAATTAAAATGATGTAAATAGTTGTAGTACATCTACTCTTTTGGGGGAAGGGAGGACAGAGTCTCACTATGTAGTTCAGGCTGGCATCAATCCTCCTGCCTCAGCCTCCTGAGTGCAAGGATTACATGCATATGCCACCACGCCTGACCACCATATTTAGTCTTGATTAGAAGCTAGAAAAGAAATATATAGGAACTTTTATTTTTCTTTGTTTTGTTTTGTTTCAGGTATTTTGAGACAAGGTCTTACTGTAGTCAGGCTGCCTTTGGACTCACTATGTAGCCAGTCTGGGCTCAAACTCATGGCACTCCTCCTGCCTCAGCCTCCTGAGTGTACAGGCATGTGCTAGGTATCACACCTGGTGGGAACTTTTATTTTTTTTTATTTTATTTTTTGTGGGGGAGGACTTTATCTTTAATACTTTAACAGTTAATTACAAGGGAGTCTTCTTTAACTTGATCTTTTCTTCTACATTTGAAAAATATCTCATCTTTGTTAAAATTTCCTTGGCTTTTTCAAAGTCATCTGAAATAAACAAAAGACATTGATGTCAGGCTTCATTTTAGGCAAGAATAAAACCAACTCTGTTGACTAAGTCAGTCAGATCAAACCTGACCTTGGGCTATGGAAGATCCATCAATTACTCAATAAATTAGTAAAGTGAAGGGAGGATATCTGGATTTTTAAGGGGACAGAGATTAACCAAAAGGGCCCAAGAGCATGCTTGTTTACAAAATTCAGATAAATCTGAGAATTTTCAGGAGATGGAAATTTGATTCTTTTTAGGAGATGACGCTCTTCTATGAGTAGTTTGCTATTGAGAGTGATTTTATCCCCGAGGGATGTTTGAGAATCTTTGGAGAAATACTCAATTGTTCTAACTAGGGAGGTGATAGTGACATTCAACAGGTGGAAACCAGGGATATTGCTAAATGCTATTTTACAGTGTACAGGAGCACTTTCCCCAACAAAGAAGTATCTGACTGAAAATGTTGGTGATGTCAAGGTTAAGAAACCTGATGTAGCCAGAAACAACACAATGTACTAAGTGCCAAAGTGAATATCCTTGATAGCCACCCATAGTGAGCGTCAAATGTTATGCAAAAGTCTGAAGTAGCCTGGGCAACATAGGGAGACCCTATCTCAAAATTAAGTAAATAAAAAGAGGTAAACATGTAGCTCACACTCCCTGTTCAATCCCAATACCACACAGGAAAAAAAAAAAAGGCAAGTCACAGAAGAACACATAAGGCATGATGTTAATTATATGAATGGCAAAATATGCACATGAAGTGATAGACTGTTGTGTTCTTATGTGATTAAAAATATCAAGAAAACAAAGAGAATGATTCATACGAATTCAAGAGAGCAGTTTTTTAAAAAGAGATATAATGGCAAAGGGGACAGTAGGAGCTTGGAAGATCACAGCTGTGTTCTTGATCAAACTGAGGGTCTACTGAATGCCAGGCAAGGGTCTATTGAGCCACATTCCAAGCCACCATTTTAAAAATTTAATTGAGTATTTTCATTATTTAAATACTTTTACATTAGGGTAAGATATATACACACAATGTAAATTTTACATGTTAACCTTTTTTTTTTTTCCTTTTTTATGTGGTACTGGGGATTGAACCCAGGGACTCACGTGTGTTAAGCCATTTTTAAAGTTTTTCATTTTAAGCTGAGTCATTTATTAATTGCGCAGGCTGGTCTTCACATTCTATTCTTCCCAAGTAGCTGGATTACAGGAGTGTACTACCACTCCCAGCTTTTATTTTATTTTTTAAAAACGAAGTTGGGCTTTGTAGTCCTGGATGGCACTCTACCACTGAACTATATCCTCAGCCCCAGTCTTGTTTTATGATCTACTCTGACATCTCTGGCTTTTAATTGGTGCATTTAGCCAGACATGGTGGCACACACCTGTATTCCCAGCACCCAGGAAGCTGAGGCAAGAGAATTGCTAGGAGTTTGAGGCCAGCCTGGGCTCCGTAGTGAGTTCAAGGTTAGTCTGGACTATGTGAGACCCTGTCTCACAAAACAAAATAAAACTAAACAGCAAAGGAAAACTTGGTATATTTAGATGACTGATGTTCCAAGTAGTCACAGATATGGTTGGATTACTATCTACCACATTTATTACTGTTTTTAATTGTTTTTAGTTTTTAAAAAATCTTTTCTTCTTAAAGACAAGGTCTTGTTTTGTTGTACAGGCTGGTTCTGGAGCTTGTTATGTATGCAGTTATCAAGTAGGCCTTGAATTTGAGATCTTCCTGCTTCAGCCTCTGTAGTGTTGGGATTATTATAAGCATGTGCCACCATGCTTGGCAGGCTTTTTTTTTTTTTTTTTTTTGAATAATGGGGATCAACATACCACTGAGCTACATTCTCAACCATTTTTAAAAATTTTAATTTTATTGACAAGGTCTCAAATTGTCCAGACTGGCCTTGACATTATAATCTTCCCAAGTAGCTGGGATTATAGGCATGTGCCATTGTGTCTAACTTTTTTAAATTCCTTTTTTTGAAAGACAAGGTCTCGCTCTATAGGCCAGGATGGCCATCAACTTGCCAGGTAGCCCTAGCCAGCCTTAAACTCATGCTCCTCCTGCCTCAGATTTCACAGCACTGGGATTATAGGTGTGTGCCACAATGCCTGGGTGGTTGAACACTTTTTTTTCCCTGACAGGATCTCGCTATGTAGTTCAGTCTGGCCTTCAACTATGTAGCCCAGGGTGGCCTTGAATTTGCAGCAATCCTCCTGCTTAAGCCTCTCAAGCACTGGGATTACAGGCATGTACTACTATGCCTGGCAGAACATCTACATGATTCCGTTTTCTTATTTTTTTCAGTGTATCAGTTATATTTCCTTTTCTCACTATGTCTTAGTGATTGCCCTAGGGTTTGCAGTATACATTTTGTAACTAATCCAGGTTTCCTTTCCTCTTTCTCTTCTCCCTTCCTTCTTTCCCATTTTCCTTTATTTTTGGCGGTACTAGGGATTGAACCCAGGGCCTTGTGCATGCTAGGAAAGTGCTCTCCTAGATTTTTTTTTTTGGTACCAGGAATTGAACTCGGGCCCTTGCGCTTGCCAGGTAGCCGCTTATGCCACTGAGCTGTATCCCTGGCCTTTTCCTATTTATATATACTTTCTATCTCCACATGTACCTATTAGAGAATAGGTATATAATAGCTACTTACTGAGTAAATGGTCATATCTCAATGCTTATAATTTCATCCCACATTTAAGAAAGTCAAGAAATGAAGTACCTTGTTCAAAAGCTCTGTTCACATTTTCAGTAAATTCTTTCTGTTTAGCTGAAAGAGAAAACCATTATCTGAGTTCTGAGTTCTACTTAAACAGATTTACGATATGAAGCAGTAATACTTTGTAATCATGTTGCTTTAAATATTGTAAGACAAGAGGTCTTTGTCTTGCAGATACTGTAACATTAGCTGCAAAACTGGGTAACCCTACTCACCCTGTTTTTCTACCCATAAAAGATCTGAGGCAATCACTAGGGTTTATAAAATGTCTACAGAATAATTTAAGAAAAATCAGGGCAGGGCAAAGGCTGCTATAGTTTGGACAAGTGTGCCCCAGAGGCCTATGTGTGGTAAAGGCTTGGTCCACTGCCTAGAGTGCAACTGGGGGATAGTGCAACTTTTTAAGAGGTGAAGGAAATGGCTCACTGGGGGTTTGCCCTTGAAGGACACAGTGGAGGCCTGGCTTCTACTCTTTCTTTTTGCTTCCTGGTGGCCCTGTGGTGACCAGTTTCCTCCTATCGCAGACCTACAAGCAATTGGGTCAACTCACTATAAACTGAGAATTTCAAAAGTGTGAGCCAAAATAAAGCCTTTTTCTCTGTAAACTGAATATTTTAGGTGTTGTATCACAGTGATGGAAAGCTAACATATGGAGATAAAAATATACTCTCCTTAAATTATCTTCCAGATTTCAGCAAGAAGAAAGTTGGCAGCACAGGATTGCCTATCAGCAGGGCATTATCAAGTGTTTTAAGCAACCATTTGTAAATTACTATAGTGGCATAGCTTTCCAGGAAAATGACAATATTTAGATCATATTGTGTCTTGAGCTGGGGATATAGCTCAGCGGCATAGTGCTTAACCTGGCATGGGCAAGGTGGTGAGTTTGATTACCAGTAACAACAACAAAAAAATGTGTAGTCTAGATCATATCTCTGTCTTACAAGAGAAGACGTGAAATAATGGAGCAGCTATTTCATCATTTTTCATTTTCTCATTAGAAAGTGAGGGATTTATGTGGAAATGGTGGTACACACCTATGATCCCAGCAACTTGAAAACCAGAGGCAGGAGTATCAAAAGTTCAAGGACAGGGGCTGGGGATTTAGCTCAACGGCATAAGCACCTGCCTTGCAAGCAGGCAGTCGTGAGTTCGATCCCTGGTACCAATAAAAACGAAAAAGACCAAAAAATAAAAAATAAAAAAATAAAAAAAATAAAAAGTTTAAGGACAGCTGGTGTGGTGGCAAAATCTGTAATCCCAGCACTTGGGAGGCTAAGGAAGGAAGATTACTGCAAATTCAAGGGCAGCCAGAATGAACTACATAGCAACATCCTGTCTCAAAAGAAAAGTTCAAGGCTAGTCTGGCCAAATAAACCAGAGACCTATCTCAAAAACAAACAAAAAACTCTCCCATACTGGGTGTGGTAGTGCACACCTATAATCTCAGGGCTCAGGAGCCTAAAACAGGAGGATCACTGCAAATTGCAGGTCAGCATGGGCTACACAGTGAGTGCCAACACCTGCTTGGACTTCTTAGTGAGACCCTGTCAAATAAACAGATACATAGGTAGATAGATAAAACCAGGACTATATATATATCAGTAGTAGAGCCCTTGCTTAGCATAGGCTCTGGGTTCAATCCTAAACCCAAAACAAAAGAGGATGTTTACAAGTTTGTTTCCTGCCTTGATATTCTCATTCTCTTTTGAAGCCTGTTCTGAAATTGGCACTTGTCATGCATGTCATAGTAGTCAAAACAGCAAAAAAAAAAAAATTTTTTTTTGCTTTCCACATATAAACTATACAAGTCCATTTATTTATTTATTTATTTGGTCTTTTTTTGAGATGGGGTCTCACTATGCAGTTCAGGCTGGCCTTGAGCTCACTTTGTAACCCAGGCTGCTCTTGAACTCGAAACCATCCTCCCACCTCAGCCTCCCAAGTGCTGGGATTACAGGTGTGAGCTCAAAGCCAAATGATCCCTATAGGACTAGAACAAATATTTTAGATACTTTATCTTTTTTTTTTTTTTTTTTGGTACTGAGCTTGAGCCTGAGACCTTTGTAATGTACTATATTCTCAACTCTTTCTTTTCTGTCCTAGACAGAGTCTTACTAGGTAGTTCAACCTGTTCATGAACTATTTAGCCCAAGCAGGCTTTGAATTCAGTGATGCTCATATCTCAGCCTTTAGAGTACTGGGATTATACGGGTATACCACCATGCTCAGCTTTTATTTTCCTATTTTGAGACAAGTTCTCACCGAGTTGCTAAACTCTCTGGTTCCATTTGAATTTGTGATCCTCCTGACTCAGTTTTCCACGTAGCTGGGATTAGAGGTATCCCACTTGGGATCGTCTTGCTTCAGCCTTCCAAGAAGCTGAGATTATAGGTATATACTATCATATTCAGATAATAGTCCATTCCACAGGTTTGAGAAAACTAAGGGCCAGATAGGTAAAGTCACTTCTTCATTGTCATAAAAAGTCTTACAAAGGAGAGGTACTACGCAGGGAGGTCAAAAAGGTTTCTCTGAAGAAGCAGTGACTGTTCCTAGATCTGAACAAGGACTTAACTTGCATGGAGATGAGTGTTTCTGAAAGAAATAACAGCACCTGCAAAGGCCCCAAGGTAGGAGGGTGCCTAGTACTGATGAGAACTGGAAGTGACCAGTGTGGATGGAGAAGAAGGAACAAAATGGAGAGAAGCAAAAATAGAGACCATGCAAGGTCTTATTGGTTGAGTATTCTTAGCACTCAATCTGAAGCAGTGCAAAGAATAATGAGAGAGATATGAGGGAGACAAAGGAGAAGGCCTTTAATGTGGACATGGGAGAGCTTCACTGGGCAGGAGGTACAGCGGCTTTAAAGCGAGAACAAAGAGGTGGGACTACTTTTATCAGTTTTGGCTGTGGAGGGAGTTTGGGAGGTGGGAAAAATGACGTTAACTGCTGATTTGAAGGAGTATCTGCCTGTCTTACACAGGAGACAGAAAGATTTACTGGCAGCTGGAGGTGGAAGCCTGGGTGGTTGTGGAGTTTTGGGATTGGAGAGGGCTCCGTGGACACGCAATAAGGGAGAGGTTTATCCTTGGAATGAGAAGGAGAAAGTAGAAGTTACTCTTGGAGAGATACGTTGTATCTCTGGGTCTGGTATGAAATTGGGAGGATGTAGCTAAACTCTAGGCTAGCAGAACCTATCACTTATAAGTTATGCTAAAGTTTGGTTTTAAATCTGACAGCAGTGGGAAGCCACATAAAGTTTTTAAACAAGCTCAAGCATGGTAATTAGATTTGAATTTTAAAAAGATAAGATAGGGCTGGGGATTTTTTGATCCCTGGTACCAACAACAACAAAAAAGATAACATAGAAGTGAGAGGAAGATGGCAGAGTGCTAAGCAGCAGAGAAAGTGCCTCTTGGAGAGTCACCTTTCAGATGCTAGAATATAGCCACATGAGGAAGACAAGGAGGAAAGGGGATGCCCTGGACTCAGGAATAATCTGAAGCACAAATTGAAGCCCATGGAGAGAATGAAGAAAGAAACTTCAGCGAAGAGGGAGGTAGCCAGCAGCACCTTCTCCCTAAGAGGGGACTCACTGCATGAGAGGAGCAGTTCGAACCTGGGGATGCACAGTCATGGTGACACTGACAGCTGCCAACCTGGAAGCCTCTGCAGAGAGATGTGCCAGTGAAGGGGAGCAACGGATGTGGAGGGGGGCAGTGGATGTGAAGGACTGTACTGACTGGCAGTGAGGGCAACGGTCTCAGTCTTGCCTCAGAAGACAGCAGCTGGCCTGCAGCCATCTTGGAGATGGGCAGCCTGAGATCAGAACTCAGAACCGCAGCTGGTTGCATGTGGTGGGTATCAGCAGGGTGCAGACCTGGAAGGTGCTTGGTAGGTAGGGAGGCAAATGTGACTGACTGATCTCCACCAGAAACTGCAGGCTTACTGTGATTACCCACTACTCTGCCAAAAAGCTACTGCTGGCCTACTGGGATAGACCAACATGGACTGGGACTGTCTCTGCAGGTTGTCTGCCAGTAAAAACAGACAAACCTGGAAGTGGACATTTGTTTTTCTTTTTTTCTGTTTTCTCCCTCCTCTCTCTTACGTTTGTTTTTTATTTTTACTTTTTGTTTTTTTTTCTTTCTCCTTCATTGTCTGATTTTGTTTTTATAAAAATGTGAACACGGTCTCTAGCCTCTCTGTGATTATGCTGTATTCTTTTCATCTCTCCCTTTACTCTTTCCCTCCAGTCTTCTATTCCAGCTTCCCAGAGTCAGCATGATGCCCCTTGGTCCTCCAACCTTACTTCTAATCTTTTCCTCTTTTTCCAATTCTCTGTTTTCTTCTTATTTTAAAATTTAACCCCTGAAGGCAAAATTTACACATCAATTGACATACCATTGTATACTGCATGTAGTTTCCTGATTTGTTTTAGAGTTTTGTTAAATAATCACAAGTCTAGTTCATACAGTTAAAAGTGCCAAATTAAAAAAAATTTTTTTTTCATTAAAAAAGTGCCAAATTAAGGGTTAGCTCAGTTGGTCATTTTCTAGGCTGTGTTTGAATCTATTGCTACCACTATAGCCAAAATTGACGTAATTGTTCTAAACAGCTGTTGATCCTGGTATTTCATGACTGAGATTTAGTAAGGGTCACAGAAAATACTGTGGCACAGTGCCAAAGAACCAGGGACTGGGCCAAACAACTTTCCAACTCCAGCAAACTGAAGAGGTAAGATCTTCCAACAGACTCAAAACTCCAAAACCAGCTACACCTGGAAGATATCTCAGTGAGGAAGTAGTCATCACCTAAGTGTTCCAAATACTAGCAATAAAGCAACATCAGATAGGAAATTTACAAGCATCACCCCAGGAATTAAGCTAAAAAAAAAAAAAAAAAAAGGAAAAAAGAAAAGAAAAGTAAAGTAAAAGGAGAAGATGCTTACACAAAATGCAGCCCTAGACATCTAGTTTGCCAAAGGCAAATCCAGAGGGCAGTGAGGTGAGACAATCCAAAAGCCTCCCACCAGGCCTCTTTAAAGT